TGTATGTAGCTATTAAAATTAAAGTAAAACAAATAATTTAGCATTTAATACTCCCTCCGTCCCTGAGTATTTGTCCATTTTTGAATTTTTTCGGTCAAAATTGGTAAACTTTGACTTCAAATTAAATAAAAATGATATTAGATATTGATACAAAAAGAATTTTATTAGATGTACTATATCAAATATTTTCAAAATATTATTTTATTTAATTAAAATATAATATATATTTTATTTAATTATAGGTCAAATGTTAAAAATAGTTGACCGAAAAAGTTAAAACTGGATAAATACTCAGGGACGGATGTAGTATTTTTAATGAATGTGCTTATATATAAATTCAAAAATAAGCACTTCAAAGTTTTTTTTGAATCCATATTTTTTTTTGAAGCCTTCGAGAATACAACATTTTCTGTGTGGTTGCAAAGATTTTCATTATCATTTAGAACTAATATTTTTAATACTCTTTTGATTTTCACTCGTGAAATAGCAGCATAAAGTTGAGCATTTGGTTTTAGATAATCCTATAAATGACTTTTGTGCATAGTCATAGTAAAATATAAAACGTTCATCGTCGTATATCTTTCTTTTGGTTTTCTTTGATTGTAGATATATACGGAGTATTATTTTAGAACATGTGACAACTTTTCTTTGTCAAAATCCAATTCTTCTACCAAGAAATTATTTTGAAATCTATTAAGTGGGTTGTCATCTCGTGATAGCATAACACTACTATACACTCTTTTTAAGGATTGTCTACTTGAATTAAGTAACTTTTCAACCTCAATTAAACATAAACAAACACTTCAGATCTTCTGGGAAAATAGAAAGTTTTACAAAAAATAGTTAAATGCGACTAAATTATTTTAGGACACATCTCAATTATAGAGTTTTGTATACGTACCATGCATTTCATATTGACCTTTATATAAATAATAAAAACTACCTTTTTTATAGAAATAGCTTGGTTATGCAATATTCTTCTTCGGTGAAATAAAATATCATAAACCAAGAGATCCCGTAACTTTTTCCAAAACAACTTGAAGATGACTCATGGTATTTGTCAGTGATAATGTGACTAACAGCTTTCTTAACTAATTTTGAGACCCTAGCTCTGTAGTCTCTTTTATAACTTCAATAAATTTTTTATCATTAGTTAATAACATTAATGCTTCGTCTGCATTCCCGAATGAGTTTTATACAACCTAACATTGTTGCTAACTGTCTTTAAGCTCTCATAGCTTAGACATCTCCGTTGGACTATTAAATGTATTTTCAAGTACTATAATATATTCTCATGTTCCTATTGACACGTATTGCATGCGGTCTATCGATGGTCTTTGTTGCCTCGAGAACTATGGAGAAATTATATATAGCCACCACAACACATAATCTTGATTTAGTTGTTACAAAATTTCTAAACACATATGCACTAATTAGAATACTATATAAAAAAGATGGATGCATGAAAAATCTAAAGCAACAAGTTTACAGTTTAATTACCCATGTTACCCATGATTTATAGGAAACATACGAACGATGTTTATGATTTTTACATATGTATGTTGAATTGTTAAAATAAAATAATAATCATAAAAATATGCTCCTTTTCTATGTCCTTTTTTTGAAGTATTTCTCTTATCCTTTCTCTTGCATCTCTAGTCGATTTTTCCATCTCTCGTCAGGTTAATTTTCTATGTTTCTAATTGTTATAGAAAGGTTGGATGCTCTTTGAACACTTATGTATTTAAACTTGAGTGAGGGTGGTGGATCCAATGACACATTCTTTGAATTGTATGTGAACATTTTGTAATTTGATTTCAGGGTATCAATTATTTCCATTAATGTCACCATAAAATTGAGTAATTTAAGTAACAAAATCAAAAAAGAAGCTAGTTATATTGCAAATTACTAAATTTAATGTTTTATTAAACTTATAAGACTTTGATTTAAAAAAGGGAGAACTCCCTAGATAGGAGTAACAAACTATGAAAATACCAAAATTGGAATCCTTAGTCTTTCATGACCAAAATAGGAGTTTACACTATCATTGTTACATTGTCACACTCACCACATTACCACATTGTAACTACCACACTATCACCGCCACACTGTCATTCGTCGTCGTAGGCCATCAGAGTGACGCAGCATATCACCAATGATTGAATAATCGCATTGATATATTATTACACTATCATCACTTTTCCACCACAGTTCTAACGCGTACTCTTACACCACACTCTCATTATACTCTTATTTTGGTCTTAAAAGACTTAGGACTTCTATTTTTTTTAATTTCATACTTCTAAACTTCTATTCAAGGATATTTGTTTTTTAAAAAAAAGAGGGCAAGTAATGTCGTAAATTACTATATTTAATGTTTTATTAAAATTATAAGATTTAACTTTCAAAAAAATCATATTCTCCAATATTGTCGGATATTCTCCGAAGAAGATCTCTAATTTTTTACTTTCTAACCAAAATTATATGGTTAAATTTTTTGTTTTTTTGTTTCAAAATTCTAATTAAATTAATGGGTAATTTTATTTTGGTTTCAATTTTTTTAAATAATATTTACATCAGTTTGTATATTTTAAAATTGATTTATATTATAAGTTAAAGTTTATTATTAATGGGGAAAAACATTTAAAAAAGTATTTAAATGCTTAATGTATCCATGCTAAAAGGTAATACATTAAAAGGGGAAAAAAGTTACAAATGGAAAAAATAATCTTTCTTTAACTTTTAACACATGCTTTTTTTATGCATTGATACACACACTTTTAAATGCACATACATTTTTTAATAAATTTAATTTGGAAATTGTATTTTTGAACGTATTCTTGTCATTTAGAATATGAGTAGTCCTAAAATTTTTATTGTTCAAGATAGGTAGCGACCAAACCCTTTCTTTTATATCAACATTTAAAGGAATATTTTTAAAAATAACTTTATGTTAACTTGTCATAAACAACTATTAATATGGAATTTATTTAGAGGTGAAGAGAGTAGCGTATTAATTAATTAAAAATTTCGTTATGAGTGGGGAAATAAAAAATAATGAATTACGAAAGAATATTATAATAAAAATGAATATCACTATTTCGTAATTAAATTTATTCAAATATTTCATACCAAAATATTTTTCAACTTTTATGTGTTAAATTAGGTGACATATTAAGTGTAAAAAACCACATAAGTTATGCACAAGTTAACTTTCTAAAAATAGAAGTTTCATCTTTTAATGCTATAATGGATTTATTGAATAACTTTATTCTTAATAATTTAAAATAAAAGATTTACTGAATTTTTTTATTTTAATAATTTTAGTTTTGATGAAAAGGAATAGTTTAATCCCATGTCAAATATTATTTAATAGAGTCTAGCTTAGAAATCAAGTATCACATTGTCACGCCCCAGACCGCCCGGCAACATGGACAACCGTCGTACGATTCATGGGTCCCTTTATCGAAAGAAATCTATGAATCCTACAAAGCTAACAGTATGCATGTATCACATCAAGCTAAACATAATCACTTTATTTATTAAGATAAGATCAGAGTTTAAGCGGAATCACAACATGCCAGCCACGAAGGGGAATTTAAGGAAACAACATGATTTGATTAGTTTAAGAAAACAACATGAGCATAATAAAAACTTCAAAGAGACATGTCCACAAACCACACTGAGGACTTGCTTGACGGAAATTCTTCGACTTCAGGTATAAACAGCGAAAGGGGAGTTATTGGTGGATGCAGGTCTTGGGACCCCCAGAATTTGTATGCAAGATGAGCCTACAGGAGTCCCAATCAACTGAGCCACCAGGTTTGAAACGAATCTCTGTCAACGAATAGTGAAACTCATTCGACTAAAAAACTACGGCAACAGATTCACGAGGAAATTCCGGCACGAGGACGACTACGCACCTAAAATAGTAAAGAGGAGGGGTCAGTACAACGCCACATCGTGTATTGGTGAGGAGAGAAATATGATATCCCAGTAATTTGTTTATGACAGTGTAAACACATGTCTACTATTCTTTTGTTTCCAACATATTCCTTTCTCATCATTTCTATCCTTTGGGGAAGTCCCTCTTTTGTGCTCAAGCTAACTGATCAGGTTATCTTGGAAAACCCGCCGAGGTGTCTGTCTCAAAAATATACAATTTTGTTCTCACACTATAGTGAAAAATAATCCCGAAGGGTTAGTCTTTTGTTTTAAAGAAAATTTCTTAGAAAAGCTTTAGGGTGTTCATGGCTAAAGCCTAACCCTATCTCCAAAAACCTCGGCGTTAGGGCGTGTTAGTCTTAGTGGTAGCGCTAAGCACTAACACTTGGGAGGTACTCAAAGTAGCTCCTCTTATTTGTGGGCTAGGAAGCAATCACATGAGATCCTTCCTATCCGTTCCCAATAATAGCGACCGGCATCCGGACCTATTATTATTATGCGTCCACTTAGGGAGGCACTATAAAAATAATCTACGGCTGAGATTTATCCACCGATGGCTATAAAGCCATTTACCTATAGGGCCCAACTAATAATAGCATCTCAGTTTATAAAATTCAGAGATCTATTATTATTCTGTATCCAACAAGAAACAGTATATTCTATCTCATGATTTACTACTCGAAGGTTAAAAATCATAGTCTAGACCAAAAGAAATTCGTAATAATATTGAATCCAAAGAAAATTTGGTATGTTTAAAAGGAGTGGCCCAACTTGAGAACTTATGGCCCAATTAAAATATAAGGAAAAATGAGAATAAGAGTTTATGGTCCAATTTGTACATGTAGATCCCAAATTGGGTATAGGGATACACTGCCAACCATTTACGGAGCATGTTTCATCTACTTCTCCGTTTTTCTTTTTTTCCGTGTGATAGCGTCGAAGAACCAAGATAGGAGAACAACCGGTTATCCTCTTCGCCGATCGTCCTCATCGTCCCCGTCGTCCGTCGGCAACCGTCGTCCGTCGGCAACCGTCGAGTTTCCTTCTTCGCCGGCGTTCTTTCTCCGAAATCAGGTATTACTGAAATCCCTTTTCTCAAATCCAACTCTATTCTATTTCATTCCCTTATGCTAAATTCGTTTGAGTCCTCATGTAATTCGGACAAGATTTTTAATTCCTTCTAGGGTTGTTGTTTCTAGATTTCACCTAAGATAAATTTCTGAGAATGGGGTGTGAAAACCCTAGTTTGTTCTCAACCCAACTGATTCTCGAATATATATATACATATATATATATATATATACACATACATACATATATATATATATATATATATATATATAAAGAGCAAATTTTTATTGAAAAAAAGGCGAGTACAATAGGGGGGGAGTAGGCCAAAACCCCTAGGGAAAGAAAATAACTGGAAGAAAAGAAACTACTCGAAAAGAAAAGTGCATGAAACTGATCATTCCCAGATTATGAAGCCCGGGTGTTCATTGAATGTCTTGTTTTTAGGCATGACTTTTTTTGGCCTTTTCCCGTCTTTTCCAATTGGAGCGACAGGGCCTACATACCAAAATTGGCCTGTGTAGCTCTCTGTTGTGATGATGTGTTCCATGGTTGTGGTTTTCCTGCTTGGCCAGTACTTTGGAACAAGGCTAACTATTCCAACTTCGAGAGTGGGATCGTAGTTCCTTGTTGTTACTGTTCGTGGGTTAGAAGGTCTCTTGCTTGTGTTCTTTGTGCGTTTGTGGTGGACTTCCTGGAAGTCATCAAGGTTAAGGTTGGAGGTCCCTTCAGAGTTAAATTGATGAGGAGAAGATCTTTTTTCAATAAAGTCATCAATTTGGTTAAGAGACATGTTCCTGTATCTTCCGAGGTTATTCCTTCGCATATTCTCTAAGACCTCTTTGTATCGTGGATCATTTTCGATTTCTGGATAAAGGAGCTCATCTTGCGGGAATTCTTCTATTGGTGGATCGAGATCTGTTGGTGGCAAGTCTTTATTTTTCAAGTGAAGTCTTTGAGGGTCTGGTGTTTCTTCCAGTGGGCTTTCTGTAGATGCTTTTGTGTCATCATTGATCACCTTGTTGCTTGAGAGTTCAGGTGTAGCATTGCTTATTGTGGAAATATCATTCGAAATCAGATTTTCGTTGGCAATAGATTGTTGTGGCAGTTTTTCAAAGCCTGTAACGCTGGGCAGTGTATTCCTAGAATATTTTTCAAAATCTTGGGCTCCTTTAGTAACAGCTTCAGTAGCAATTTTTGATGCAAAACTGGCTTCATCAATGGCTTTGGCTCCTTCAACTTCAATAGGAGCTGCAGAATGGGTTCCTTCCGTAATAACAGTTCTAGCTGCAGAACCGGTTCCTTCATCAATGGCTTTGACTCTTTCATCAATGGTTTTGGCTCCTTCAACTTCATTAGTAGTTGTAGAATGGGTTCCACCAAAATGGGTTCCTTCCATTTCCTCGATGGCTTCGGCTTCATTTGGAATTTCAGTAGCAACTTGGGCTTCATTAGTTGCTTCAGTAGTATCCTCATCAGGGACAACTGCAGGTTCAATATCAGTGCCTACACCCAACTGAGCATTATTTTCAGCTTCTTCTGATTCTAAGATCAATTGGGCAGTAACTAAATGGGGCTGAATTTCAGTACCCTTGACATCTACAGTTTCTTTTGATGAGGCCTTAGCGTCTGTCTTGACCTCCCTATGGATCCATCTTGAGGAGGAGTGTGATTTTTTGCAGTTTTTGTGACCATATTTCATACATGATGTGCAGAAGGCAGGAAGGTCTTCATAATGGATGGGTTGTAGAAAAGAAAGCTTCCCTAGGTGAATCCACACAGAGGTTGGCAGTTCCTTGGATAAGTCCAGTTCCACACAAACACGAGCTACTGATGGTCTAGTTAATTGGATTGTAGCATTGTTTGCCTTTAATGGTTTCCCAATCAAATTGGCAATGGAGTAAAGAGCAGAAGAATCAAATATGTGAATTGGTAGACCTTCCATTCCTATCCAGACGGGTAGCAATGGGGATTCAACAGTGGGATCAAATTCAGGAGTCCATCTAAATACATTTAAGGAATAACCATTGATCTTCCAATTCTTACGTAGAAGACACCGCAGAATATCATTGTATGAAACGAAGGTAATCAAAATGTGTTGTTCATCTAGCAAGGAGACAGTAAACGAAGCTTCATATCCAATTTTTTCAAATACCTGACGAATTGTAGCTAGATTTGGTCTACCTTTGCGGAAACGTCCAACCAATGCTAGGTTAAATCGTGCAGCCAACCTTTTAATCTCTTCATCAGTAAAAGAAACTGATGGTGACCCTTTAAATCGAGATGCTGGTTTGAAGTTCCCAGATGCTTCGATCTCTCTGAAAGAGATATCCATGGCGAAATGCAGCTTGCAGAGGAGATTCGATCGGGAATCGCCATTATCGCCAGAGCAGATCTAGAGAGAAGGTCTCCATTTATATATATATATATATATATATATATATATATATATATATATATATATATATATATATATATATAGGAGTAGAGTTTGATTAAAAATGCTCAATCAAACAAGGAATATATTCAACTTTGAATAATTAAGAAAATCCTGTGTAAGATTAAAGTATTCATCATTTCTACTTTGAAATTTGAGTAATCGATTTGGGTAGAATCCCAAGCTGTAAAATCAACTTTAATCTCTTGTTTTCAAAAATTCAATTTTAAAGTCAAGCCTTGTAGGCATAAAACATCATAGAGTGAAATCCTTTCTTTGAGATTTTGAGGAATCATTTTGAGTGGAAATTTCTGGTTGGAGAAAACCATTTACTTTTTTATTTATTTAAAAAAGGTTCTCGTATGCTTTCTTCTTAAATTCCAAAATCTCTCTTTTTCCTTTTTTTTTAAAAATTACTGGGACAATGTTTTCAAGTTTGGCTATTGGGAAATTCCCAAACTTACTATCAAACAATTAGTTTCTTCAATAAATTTTTTTCCGAAACAGTTGCCATCCCTGGATGGTATAAAAATACTATTTTTAATATATATATATATATATATATATATATATATATATATGTATATATATATATATGTATATGTGTGTGTGTAATTTATTTTACTTATAAAAGACAAACATAGAAAAATGTAATAGACTATCATAAACAATTTAGAGGTATAAAGTATTATTCCCACTCACCTTGTTGGGTTGGGTTGTAGAAGCTATTGTTGTTCCTCCTTGTTTTCCTTGCAGGGACAAAAGAAATTGAAGGGCTATGGTTGATTGCTAAACTACCACTAGCAAGAGTGGGTGATTTATTTTTGAGTATGTCTAAAATGACACCAGCGCTACTGGTGTCATTTGCTTACACCAGTTTATTTGGGGTACCTACGGTGCCCTGTTTGTGAAAATGACGGTTCCTACCCCCCCTAACCCTTCCCCTAAACCCCCCACCACAGCCCCACCCTTGCCCCCCATCCCAGCCCCCCCTCCCACCCCCCTCCCTACCCTAGCAGTGTACTGCCAGGTAGGGAGGGGGGTGGGAGGGAGGGCTGGGGTGGGGGGCAAGGGTGGGACTTGGGTGGCGGATTTAGGGGGAGGGTTAGCAACTGGTGTAAGCAACTGGTGTATTGGTGTATAAGTAACTGGTGTCATTTTAGACACTCCCTTTATTTTTTTATAGCTAAAGGGTGTTTGCCTATTTCTTGTAAAAATTTTGTGCGTAGAGTTCCATGCTTGGATGGGTTAGGGGGGGTAGGAACCGTCATTTTCACAAACGGGACACTGTAGGTACCCCAAACACACTGGTGTAAGCAACTGGTGTATAAGTAACTGGTTTCATTTTAGACACTCCCATTATTTTTTTATAGCTAAAGGTTGTTTGCCTATTTCTTGTAAAAATTTTGTGCGTAGAGTTCCATGCTTGGACGGGTTTATATATTATGGAAATCTTTCAATGTATACACATAGAGTGGTTGATGTCTCACTCTTCATGGAAATTTCTCGTGATACTCTTAATAGAGTTGGGGCCTTCATGCTGCACAAAACTTGATGTTTCACAGTATTGCTTTTATTGGGGTGTGCTCTTCCCTCTATTATTATTTATCTATTGTCACCTCCATCATTTATTTACTTATTGGTTTATTAGCATTTTTTTTTTGGTATCCAATGTACAATTTATCCAACCGTAAAATATTCCTTCAAGTTTATATAAGAATATTTCTCTGAATTTATTCTATTATAAAATTTGAAACATGAAATTTTGAGTATTACACATATAATATGCCACATGTATACTCCATATTATGCCACATGTATATTTCTTAATGACAATGATAATTTCTTAAGATCCTTTTAGTTGTTGTGTATTGTATTAAAAATACTTTGTCGAGTAGACTTTTAATTTCTCAAAAATTATTTATTCTACTTTGAGTCTTTGGGTTGTCAATTGTAATAAAGATTATGTGAGAAATATATTTACTTGATTTTGAAAAAATATTGCATTGAGAAAACATAAGATCGAAAAAAAATTTGTTCGATGGAATACACAAGTTTTTTCTGATCAGATACTCAAAGTTAAAGATTCAAAGCTTGAAAAGGTGTACATAGAACTGCTCATGTTAAAATCACAAATTCTTGATTCTCGACACAAGTTATTTCCACATGACTACTACCTCCGTCCCAAAGTATTTGTCCACTTTCATTTTTACACACTATCCAATGCACTTCTTTAATCCATTTTATCTTGTAATTTGTATATTAAAAAATTATAGAAATTATATATTAATAATTTATATGTTAAGACAAATCAAACAAGATCACACATGACTATATTTAGGCTTACACATTGAGAGAATTTGATGAGTCAAAGTGCTTAGATGAACAGTTCCAAAAGTCAAAACTAGACGAATACTCCGGAACGGAGGGAGTATAATGGATTTCACTTATCCAAATCTTATGAAGAATGTGAAAAAATATTTCCTTTTTTAGGACATGGCACTATTGGCACCTACTCTCAAAGTTGTTAAAATGTTAAATAAACTTTTTTATCTCTCATTCTTGGTGATGAAAAGGAGTACTTGTGTTTTGATTTTTGATGCCAAATATAGGTGTCCGTGGTACTAGAACACACTTGATTTTTGAATCAAATGTTTGAAGATCCCAAACCATAAAATAATTTTGAAAAAAAGGAGAATCGATTATGTTATTGAGGAACATTAATCAAACATCTAAATTTTGTAATTATACAAGATTAATCATTGAAGTATTGTGAAACAACATTATCAGTGGCTATTGTTATTTCGAGAAATTGAGTCGGGGATCCTAAATGAATTTGGTATCATTTGATTCCGGACTACCCCTGAAATTCTAGAGAAAAAAATGTCAAAAAGTATGACTATTAACAAAAGTCAATGACAAAAATTATCCTTTGTTGGATTATCTTTATCCAAGTCAGTATTCACTCATGATTAATTTTATATTGTTATTTCATTGGTGAAGACAAAGGTATAATTAAAAATATTAGTTCTAGATTACAATGAAAACTCAGGAAACTATACAAAAAGTGTTGTGTAATCTGAAGTTTTTGAATAAAATTGGAATTAAAAAAACTTTGTTGTGAACATATTTAATTCTCAAATATTATTTATTCTACTTTGAAGTTGATCTCTATATTATTCAAAAATTATGTTTAAAATATTATTTCTAAACATATTATATACAAAAGTTCAGAATCAACAAAAACTTTTGTTCCATTCGTGCGTCGCACGGGTAAAAATACTAGTTTAATATAATATTTGAGAGTTTGATTCTTAAGATTATGACACGTGGCAATTTAGGTGTTCTAATTTAAAGACACGTCAGGGGACACGCGTACACCTCTCAGAAAAAATCGGAAATTCCTTGGCCTTTCTCTTCCCTGCGCTATTCGCCTCTTTCTTCATCGCCAAAACATCCTCTTCCCCCAAATATGGCAAATTCAAGAAATAGAAGGAAGGGTTCCCGGATTCTTCGCGGATTCTTAGCCTTAATTCCGAAATCTACTCCGTCAGGCCGTTAATGTTGATTCTTCGCGGATTCATAGCATGCTTGAAGATGCAGGTAATTCCCAAAATACATGTGTGATTCTAATATATACATCTTCCATACCAATTTCGAGCACTTCTCTAAGTTTATATTCCTTTTCCGTAATTAAGGCTACGAAATCGAAAAATGATTTTTCTTAAAAAAGTGCTAGAGTCACAAACACTTTGATCACAAAATACACAACTTTGCAATTTGTGTATTTAAATGCATACTTTTAAATTATTTAACATTATTTAATTCCCTTGGTGAGGTACACAAATGACAAGTGTCTTTAAATTAGAACACCTACACCCCTTAGGCGTATTTTCTTTTTCGGGCTTCATAATTTTTTTCCCATACGTTTGCCGGATACCATGGGCGGACCAAGAGTTTCCAATGTAGTCAAGGCGGCAACAATTGGGTTTTGCAGGGATGAAGACAGTTGCGGCCTGGTAGGTTTGCTGTTTACATCGCTTCAATTTCAATTTTAGTTTAATTTTTCATTTAAAATGATATCTGAGATTATTTTGATATTTCTTCCATCCAAACATCCATGGATTCAGATCTTGGACGCCGTTCTTGAGAGAGGTTGACAAAGCTTGAGAACACGGCAGTAACTTTAGGTATATTTATGTGTTCATTTTTTTTTATTTTTATCTGTAATTTAGACTAGAAATACAAATGAATTTGCTGAATGTTGGTTTCAATTTGGTAAATAGATTCCAGTCTGTCGTTATTTATGTTCAACTCTTCATTCATACAAGGAGTATGATGGTTGTTTGTAATGTTTAAAAAAAGCAAATGAAAAACTGAAATCCCTTTGAAGCTTCTTATTTCACACGGTCATGAATCTAAATCCCATCACAATAAATGATATTTTAAAAGCTTCTTTGTTTATACGCTTGATTTCGATCTATAGATTTAAGCACATTCCATCACACACTCTTTTGTTTCAGTGAGTGTTCCAGATTTTTTCATAAAATGTAGCTTGATTCTATAATGGAGATTTGGACTGATTTAACTTATTTCTTTATCATAGCTGGTGTTACTGTCAATGATAAGAATTGGCCTCCTTTTTTCTGAGAAGGGAGCATGATATTGCCAATGAGAAATACCCCAACTCATTCTCATAGGATGCAGTATTCGGCCAAAAGCACGATGGTACTGTTGATATACCCCTTGATTCAATGAACGTAATGAAGTTTTAACCTTCACTTATCATGTAGTTTCTTTATTTAATCATGTTGATGTGAAAACATCTAAAATTCTAAGTCTGGTGTCTTTCTATCTGTGCTCATGATCCCAAGAAAAAAGAGAAGGACTTGCCAAATTGGGAGGTTGAACTGAAAATGAAAGAAAAGCTGTGATCCGACTAATCTGAGGCTTTGAGTGCCTTAAGTGTTCATGTTTTGATATTGAATCTCTATTACTTGCATTTGTTTTGATATCAGATCTGCTTTCTTTATGTTTATAAGTGTGAATTGTCAAAAAAAATGTTTGAGTGTGAATAATATGATTTACAAGAAGTAAAAAGTTCTGGCAAGATTATTGATTCAGCTCCTGGTATGTGGTATCCCACATTCTTATACTAAATACTAATGGGATACTACATTACTACAAGTCTGCATTATATGAAAATGAAAGAGTAAAAAGTGATTCACCACTACAAGGTTTATACTAATTTAAGATAGAGGCATGCATGACATACGTATAATCTGAAACTTCTACTTTACAGAAGATCAAAAACAGAGAAGATGCTCTCTGATGTGGCATATTTGACTCTTTTGGTTAACTTTTCTTCTTTTGTACTGCTTGAGATTTGGACTCCCTTTTTCCCAATCATACATTATGATATTGCCAATGAAATACCAGCTCATTCTCAGAGGATGCAGTATATTGCCAACTAAATTTCCGTGTGACAATTAACATTAGGTGACATGTTTTAATGTTTTTGTAAAAATCTTAGATGTCAAAATTTATTTATAATGCCCTTTAATAGGATCACTCTAGCAGAATAAATTTTCAGATATAATTTCCTAATAATATAATAGTTTGGTAGTTTTTTTATAACACTAGCAACTCTGATCAAATCTCTTTACAAGTAAAGATTCTAACAACTAACAAATATTTATTTATGACAAAATTTTAAGAGTATATATTACTAACATAAACATAAAATATTTGTACCTTTATGTTTTAAAAAAGTCACATAAGGGGTTTTTGTGTAATTTTTATCATTGCTTTTAAAGAAAAAAAGTTATCAAACTTTGACATAAATAACCAATTTAATGATTAAAAATATTTTTACATTAGATATTAAGCGAGAAACAATTACATACCCAGAGTAATTTAATGTAAAAGCATGATTATTACTAATATTTAATGAAAACTTTTCAATGAATTTCGCTCTTTGTTTGTTATATATAGAACTATAACTAATGCTAAAAATCTTCCATGGATGCACCTAATTAAGATTACGGAGTAATATTTTTCTTATCAAAATTTTTCTTTCAATTATACTATTAGAAGTGATAAATATAATGGTTAAGAGTGCATTTGATTTGGGAAAAGCTTTCCAAACTCAATAACGTTAGTCATAGAGAATATTGATCCTGCCATTTTTCGTAGCTTAATGTACTTGCACACTCTACCAAAAGATATTTTAAATGGCAGACTTAGCATGTGGAAGTAGTTTGGGCAGATTAAAAAGTTCTTCACTCCCATCAAAACTACAAATGTTAACCTTACAAGAATGATATTTTTCAAGGTGAGCAACTACCCTTTTGTGGTGTACCTAGAGCATGAATTGGCTTAAAAAAAAACCCTTTTTACACTACTTTTGATTGTTGTTTAACCAAAACTTGGGAAGCAAATGTATGCTCATTTACCACAGTATGGTTGGTGGTACTTCACATTTATCTATAACAAGAATGTGTCCATTTATCCAATCTTCTTTTATTGATATTAAAGAGTTGTGTTTATTTCCCGATTACTTCAGAATGACTAACCAACACTAAATACACATCATTAAATAACGCTTTGCATCTTAGAACATGTTCTCTTTATTCTTATTAGAATGGTATCATAAACAACTTTAACCTTTACTAGAATGATAATAGTTCAAACCAGATCAATCTTAGATAAGAAAATTATAGATTACACTTTAATAGATTTAGAACACAACTAATCAAACTAGACTTTTAGTCCGTATGTTTAAATCATATTAATACTCTGTGCGCACTTGCTCATAGTCTAATATGCACAAACCATTGCACCATTATTTTGCATTTATCACATGCAAAAACTATTTCACAATTCTGTTTATGTCGTATTTAACATTCTATATTATATTTACCTTTATTTTATAATTATTTACTTAAAACAAAAAATTACCAGAGTAAAAAATAACATGTATTCGACCCCGTGCGTGGCACGGGTTAAATACTAGTACTAGTTTATATATATAAATGAGACTCAAAGCTCTAAGAGAATAACACATGGCAAGCTCTAAGAGAATGACACATGGAAACTCTAAGAACATATATAACACATGGCATTATCATTTTTGTGACACCTATATAAAAAATTAAAAGAATTAATTATTTAAGAATGGAATATTTAGGTGGCATTGCTCCTGATAAAATAAAAAAGAATTGAATATTTACTTTCCTTTTTCAGTTCTTCCAACTTTAATTTTTGTCTTCCTTTCCTTTCAGTCATTTTTCAAAACTAATATTAACCTTTTCAAAAACTAATTAATCCAAATTTAGTATTTCAAATATTTTTTCAGATATCAATTAATTTTAAAAATTAGAGACGATTTATAGATGCATGGATATTTTTTAATAAAGTAATATAGTCATGTAAATTATATATTAAATTATATCAAATTGAAGATCTAAAAATATATTATATTTATTCAAATTAATAATGAAAATACATTTTAAAAAATGTTTCTATAAATTTAATTTACCTGGTGTTAATTTATTTATTTATTTTGAATGCTATTGACTCTTCCAACTATAATTTTTGTCTTCCTTTCCTTTCAGTCATTTTAAAACTAATATTAATCTTTTCAAAAACTAATCAATCCAAATTTAGTATTTCTAATATTTATGTCAGATTTCAAATAATTTTAAAAATTTCAAACGATTTATAAATGCATGAATATTTTTTAATAAAGTAATATAGTCATGTAATTATATATTAAATTATATTAGAGTAAAGATCTAAAAATATATTATATTTAATCAAATTAATAATGAAAATATGTTTTAAAAATGTTTCTATAAATTTAATTGACCAGGGGTTAATTTATTTATTTTTTGAATGCTATTGACTTTATTGCAAGGTAATATTTATTCATATTATTCTCAACCAAATGACGCACAAAGAACCAATGTTTTTGCCTCCACTGGAGCTCGAACCTGGGTGAACTTCCCCATTAATTCTGGGAAGTTTAACATTTTCAGTATTGTTAAATCTATTACATTTATATATTTATCTTTGTATATAAAACTAGGTTCCTAAAAATATAGGTGACTAAAGGGGAAATATGTTCTATTACATGGAGTTTTCTAAAGGTTCCTTTAAAGATCAAGCTAGCATTAGTGTTTTTCTCTAGAAGCTTCAAATCTTCAATGACTTCAAACAACCATTGCTGACACACAACACTTCTGCAACCTGTTAATATTCCGGTATATGTTATTTGACAATGGCCGGATAAGAACAAAGCATACAACCTGCCAATTATATTCTAGAGTAAAATGGAGCATATCAAGTAAAGAAATATTGTTGCATATCTATTTGTCTGGTTTTGAAAAGGAATTAAGCAAGCATGATAAACCTATGTGAGAAGGCTAAAAAAATGATTTGATTATCACAAATAAACACTGATGTTGTGGAGTTTCATCCTTATTCAGGTAATTAGTGAATTAAATACATGCATCATTTTACATAGTACTACGGAGTCCTATATCAATGACCATCAAGTATTCAATGGCCTCCAAAGCCATATCAATGCCAAGGCCATGACGCTAATTCTGAAATAACAACAAATCCACAGGGTAATGCCATATTCAATGCATAGGCTAAACACATTAGGCATTTGGCGTAAGATGTAAAAGCCATGGAAGTTAATTGCAGTTATTATTTAAAAGACAACACAACCACATCTTCTCTATATCAATATTCAAATGCATTCATAATCCAAAAGTCACTACCAAAAAATAAAGGTACTTACTATTAGTTTGATCACTCCCTACACTCCTCAGTTGAGAACTTTCCACTTGACCCTCCATGATAATAATTTTATCTAACTTGCAAATATAATTAAGTCAGAATATCCATGTACCATTCCATCCTCTAAAATAATATAATAGAAAGTAATATGTCAATAGTTTGGGTTACTCTTAGTTTCCATGTCATAAAGTATGAAATCACATAAATTGAACATAATCTTGGGCATTATTCCAAAAGTCAAAGCCCATAGTTTTAAGCAGATGTATAAAAAGACAAACAACTCCTTCCTATTCTTCATATCAGCATCTTACCTCATTTATAATCAAAATTCCACTGGAAGAAATCAAATTTCCTTACCATTAGTTTGATCACAACCAATAAATTTAGAGTATAATAAAAAGCCTTAGTAATTGAGTAAAATAATAGGCAGAGATCAAATTTGAGTACCCAATTAAAAGACTTTCTCAAATTTCGTCTATGATTAGTTCAGGAATAAATTGATGGGTACTCAAGCTCACAAACGTATAAAATCTGAGTACCAAAGTAGGGGGGACAACACATCCAAAGGTGATGAATTGAGTGAAGGTGTCTTAACATTGCTTATGTAAAATTACCCTCTTGGTTTTTCATTCTCAATTTGCAGAAACAACAAAGACATCATTTGAAGAAGGAAATTATATCACTCATGAGTTTGATCCAATCTTATGGAACTAGGAACTTTGTCGTAAACGACCTATTTCTATTTTCTGGCCAAAGTCATCAGTCTAAAAGAAAATGAAACTCAAACAACATAAAATAAATCTAGGAAGAGAGGTAATGCATCTCAAACAAAAATATTATTATAAGGACGAAGTCCAATCTAAGAAAGTATTATGAACTCACTTTATGGAAAGTTTAAGTGCAATGGCCTAAATTAACCTATACTAAGAGCTTTATATAGTAGAAAGTCATTCATGTGCCTAAGGTTCCAAATTTTGAATATATGAAATGGTTTTTTAGCGAATTTTTTTTACATATTAATCGTCATAGTTTGATTTTATGGAGTTTTAAAAAAGTGTTGAAAAGTAAAAATTGGATTGTAAAATCTGTTTGGAAAGAAAGGAAAGATTATAGACCATATATTTTTTAATTTATTAGGAAAGGAAGTGTGACAATTATGTTGGGACGTGCAAAAAAGGAAAGTAAGACTATTGATCCGGGACAGGAGGAGTAGAAGATAGAGACTAACACTAATAATAAGCTCACTGGATGACCCCTCTGCATGGTCCTACGCATCGATTTGTGTTGTATGTTCCGTGCATAGGCCGGATCCAATGTAACCGATAAGCTGCCCAATTACTTTAATTGGAAAAAAGGTGGAATAAACCTTCAGCTTTAGCTCCAAATCTAATACATCCAAGCAAAAAAAACAATAATAACTTTGGTATTATTCTCACCAAATAAAATGGAAGCCCCTCAAAGACTATTCATGTAACCTAAATGGTGCAAAGAGCCTAGGCATAAGCAACATATTTGTCAAAAGTCATTTTTATGTCCCTAAGGATGAATCTTGTGGGTTTTAGTGATTGGACAAATTTTACGAACCTATAAATTCCCACAGATGTCTAATTGCAGAGTTTAGAGTGGTGTTTAGAAAAATACTGCAATTCAAAAATACCAAAATACAGGAGAAGAGCAATAAAACCTGCACAATAGTGCCAACCTTAACATTAGGTAAAGGACAATAACCTGTCTTACCCCATCCTTCCCTCCTTTGTAAGATTCTGAGCGATAAACCAAGCATTGATATCACTGCTGCCTGATTTGAACAACCCAAATACCCAATTGAACTAAAATCCCAATCTTGCACGCTGTTGATAAGGGCTTCAACTCCTCAACTTTGTAAATGTAACCATCCCAATTTCTGGATCCAGAACCACCTCTGATTGACACAGAATTGAGATTATTAAAAATGCACTGGCAGCACTACCATTGTTGTATATGCTTGGAGAATTTTTTAGATCCTTTCCACTGAAACCTTGATTTCCAAAGCTCAATTAACCTGGGATTACACGACCTTCTTAACACAATAATAAAAAACACCCCCCCCTATTTACCCAACTAACACAGAGAGAAATTAATACCTTAGCTTTCTCCGAAGTCGCCCAAGTATTAATCGGCCAGTGGCACAATCAACTAATGCTAAAAAAACATCATGTAGATGAAGGAACATGAAAAATTACTGACCTTAACACGCTGCATAGTAATCCCGCAACCCCCCTCATTTGTAGTAGAACAATCCATCAACACTGGAAAAAAATAAATAAATGAAGAAGAAGAACAGTTGATACCCATGAAAGGAGGGAAAATTACCAAAAGGAGTAAATGCCATTAATTAGGAAAACTAAAAAGGAAAAGGTAAGGTGGCCTTTTCGTTGCATGGAATGAGGAAAATATGTAAGCTACCTAAAATCAAAACAAAAAGAAGAAAACCTAAAGCAACCTAAAAAAAGAAACCAAACCTAAAGCAAAACGAAATCAACAAATTATTTCCCAAAAGAGACTTTTGGTTCCGCCTTTTTGCAGCAAATCTAGTTTTTATATTTAAATCTTGTTCAAAGACGTGAGCTTTTACCTCCCTTGCTACTACTCTTGAGTAATTCTGGCCAAAAAAGATGTCCTGAGTATTAAAATCATGCCAAAAAGATCAAAGATGTTCTCCCTAAATAGCACCGAAAACCAATTCCCAATACAGAATCTCCCAAGACCATGCTCCCATTAAATTCAAGCCAGAATTAGGAGACCGACCAGCTTATATCAACAAACTTTGGAACCTACTATCAGTTAAGTCATCTCTCATCATATTAGGATGAAAATTAAGGCTAGAAGCAGCCTATATGTGATGATACACCATAAGAAAATTCTGAAAAACTATAAATTTAGATGAAGAAATCACATTTTCAATGGAAGAGGAGGAATTTGCTCTAAATGTAATCATTGTCCATCATCTCCCTTGGATGAAAAATTAATCTGAAACTGAAGCGGCGGAAATAATAAACCTACCAGGCTACCACAGGCTTTTTCCTGCAAAATCCAGTAGTTGCCGCCGTCACTGCATTCAAAACCCTTGGCCGACCATGGTTTCCGAAAAACAGTTCGCAGAGAGATGACCGAAGATGGAGAACAACCCTCAAAAGATTGATTTATAAGTAATTTGTACAAAGTAATAAAACATTAGAAGAGAAAGGCAAGCAGTGACATGGTATCTGAAAGCTCGTAGGACTAAAAGTATCTTCGAGATTACTTTGCCGAAGAAGAGAAGACCTAATGCAGAGAGCAAATTGCTGGAATTTCGAGAGCAAATCGTTGGACTTTTGAGACTTTCCTTTTGTGGAGAAGAGATGGTGTAAATTTCTACTTTCCATCCTTGAAGAAGAGACCGTAGAGTTTCCATGTGCGAGGAGAAAGACTAAAAGAGCCATGGTCTATTCAATCAGAGAAGTTACATGTGGATATTACGTGCCAAACAACCAAGGCCTTAAGTATTGCCACATGTCAAATTTCTGGAGTTCAAACTCTCATATTTATATATAAAAGATTTAATGATATTGTGGAACTAATTATAGTTTAGTCACATAATGTTCCCCACAATACTACATAAGCAAAATTATTTTGTAGATTATACAAATTTGTATAGCTCACAATCATCTTAGCAGTATTTTTTATTTACCAATGACAATGGCAACAAAGACATATGTCCATAAAAAACAACATCAAACATTAACACCTTTAAAGCAATTTTTTTAAAATCATACGCGACATATACATATAGCCATAAAAACATATACCTTTATTTGACTTTCAAGGCAACAACTTCATCAATATCAATATTTAAGTACACCTTTGAAGTAGTGGTTGAAAACAGTAGAGCTACCTGTGACAGCAAAGAAAAAATATTAACTCAAAAACTGTAGTACAAAAATGTGTCCCCAAAAAAGTATCCAAAACCATTTACTCGTATTGATTCACCATGTTAGAAGTGAACACGCCAACAATTACAAATTTGCTAAGTGCAGCATTTTTGGTAATATAGTTGCCAAGACTTTTGTCCTCCATTCTGAAATCTGTAAGAAAACAGTCAAGCTTAATCCTAATGGAAACTTTATCAAAGTCAAGTAAATCAAACTAATGCATTGGCATTTGAGAACTCCCATCAGGAGCAGCGTGAACAATGGAGTTGGCATAAAATAGTAGCATTACTTTGTTGTTTTCCACAACACGGTAATGACTTTTATTGTCTATTTTTAAATTGATTTTGGATCTTCTTATAAACAAATTAAAGACATACCTCAAAAACCATGAATCTTAGTGTAGAAGCTTTGTTTTCCCAAAATGTCAAGGCATTCTCTGCCTTAGAGGATAAAAGAAGCACATCTAATTACAGAAATATTAGCTGTGTATCTATATTAATAATGTTAATCACTTATGAGAAATAGGCTTTAATGTATGCACAAAATTAAGTTTAAGTGTCTAGGGTAATTAAACTGTCTTATACCTTCAACACCGATTGAATACAAATAAAATGTAGCAAATTTCATCTCTTATCATCATTAGTCTCTATAATAGAACATACATAATGTTCGTTATTGATTTTCAACAATTAGGCATATATCCCTAACCTACGTTTGAACACAATAGCTTCACATAATTCTTCTTATAATCCCTCTTATTTTGTTCCTATTTACTGTACTATCTCCCCGTATAATACGAAAGGGTAAAAAATCTTAAAATTTATAGGCTTATGATAAGTAATAAATTTTAAAGTTCCTTATAAAGACTAAAAAGTGTATTATAACGTGACCAAACAAAGGGGTGCACCTATAAAGTTTGTGTTAGAGGCAACCACCGGCAAATTCAAGAAACAGAGATGACTCTTAGAATACCTCCAAGCCAACCTGCAAATCTTCTCTTTCTAGGAAAGTAGAGGGTTAGAGAGCGGAGAAGGAACCCTAGCACCGCCCATTGATTCTGGCTAACAGCAGGAATAGAGAGAAAATAAAGTTAGAAATCTAAAATTAAATTTTAAAAAAATTAAAAATAGAGGAAAATTATGATGTGTGAGATGTGTACCTTACGTCAATTGGTCATCAATATCCTAGGAAAAACTCCCTGATAGGTGTTGTCAAGTGCTTCAATCTCCATCTCCCTAAGCCAACTTAATTCAAGCTAAGGTCGCCGGCACGTTCAGCATTCTCCAAAAGCTAAGCCCAATCCAGTTTGTTGCCAAGCGAAGTACGAATCTTTAAAATCCTACGATGTGTTATTAAAAGTAAAATCAAATACACAAAAAAAGACCCATCTAGGTTGTGATACAACACATCAAGATACTACGTATGAATTCATATATTTCGGCAAATAGATAGATAGATCTTTAGAAGCAAATCCAATAACCTTGATACTGCTTAAAAATAAAGAATATATTCAGCATCTGTATTGGTACTTCATCTCAAATAGATAGATAGATCGTTATTAATAGCCTATATACCCCTCTTTTCAGTTCATTTCATTTTAACAACCCCATCTGCAAATAACGTTTTCAAAACTCTTAGGCTAAATTTTGAAAATACTTTATGTCATAAAAAGTAGTTGAATAGTCATGTTACGTACCACTTGTATGTGCCAATGATATCTCTATTGCTACCTTCCTTTCTTGGATGGGCCACCAGATGGTTTTGTGGTCTTTCTCATTCCAAATTTGAAGGTTGAAAGCTAACATGTGAAGGCTTGATGTTGTGATATTCATAGTGCATTTTCTGCCCACAATTTTTCATAGGCACAAAAGAAGGTTCTGTGAAAATTTAAACTCTATTGTCTATATTAATAACCTAAGAAAACTAAATAAGAACCCCAAATTGAAAAATCAAGATTCCTTAGGAAAATAAAGCGAGACTTTAGTTGGATCTTTGTGACCAATCGCATAGAGGCATCATCCTTTAAGGAAACCACAAAAACTAAAGGTTGGAATTTAGATGTAAGAACCCAAAAAGAGTCTAATCCAAATCTCGGCTTTTTTGTCTTCTCATTAACGGATAAAGAAATTTTGTATAAGATTCATTCAACATTTCAGTTGGTTGAACATTCATATCAAAGAGAAAAGGAAGAAAAATAATACTCCTACATAGATGCACAGTCCAGAGCCAAACGTATAAGTTAATGATTATCTCTAGGTTAATTTCCCATGGAAATCACATAGTATCTCATCACCTCTTAACATGATTTATGCACCAGGAAGTTCCAATGTCTTCACATATGACAAAAGTAGCACTATCCAATGTTTAAATTACTCTAGTCTAAATTTGATACTTGTTTTAAAGTAAGATTTTAATCAAAGCTTATAGGAGTGGGACATTAGTTCTTTTACAAAAGAGTAAAAGAAAATGTTTTGATGAGGCGACATGGTTTGATCAATATCATCCTAAACTCATGTGATAAGCATAAATCCAAACCTTATTTGGTTGAGGCGACATGGTTTGATCAGCAACCCCTGCGCAATATAAAATTATATTATAGGCACACCAAAAAACCCAACTTACTTAAACTTCCAATACATGCATAGATTATTTTTATAAAAGTATTATAGCAGGGCATAACATACATGTACACGACACATGATTAAAAAAAGCAACCCCTACGCAATATAAAATTACATTTTATGCACAACAAAAACCTAACTTAAACTTCCAATACGGGCATAGATTATTTATATGAAAGTATTATAAGATGCAGAATGAGTTTTCAAATTACATGTTCATACATCAAGACGATCTCAATTGAATTCCTAGTCTTCTCATCACTAATAATGGGCAATGTATATAGCCTTAAGACATGAACCATAATTCTCCAACACTCACTGCTATGGTTGAGCTTCGACAAAGGATGAATAGTTTTGGGCATGCCAAAAGGAAATGAAAGTACCGATCAAATGCTATTAAAATCCCAATAAAGAATATGTGTTCCAATAAGAATATTTATAAACTAACTATTTAAAATAAATGAATGATTGTCAATCTAAGAAACATATGAATCATCCAAGTTATGGAATTGCATCCTAATTTAGGGAAAAATGCAAATTTGGCATAGGTTAACATGAACTTAGGAATATAAAAAAAATCAAATAAATCTGTTCATGATTTGCAGACTCTTTTTCTGACTGCCCAAGATTTACCAAATATAAATTCTAACAATTTGAGAAAACTAAATTAAATAAAGATTACCAATTGAAAACTTATCGACGATTCCAATAAATGGAGACGATTGTTTTGCTTCTAATTGGAAGGATATGACTCAGAATCGTAGAAAATAGGAAGAATAGGAAGAATCACCGTACAGAAACTCTTCATTAGCCGGTTGTTTTCTTCCGTAGCAGAT